AGCAGGGAGCCCGATGCGGGACTCGATCCAGGGACTCCAGGATCATGACCTGAGCCGAAGGCAGTAGCTTAACCAACTGAGCCACCCAGGCGCCCGAGACAATTTCTAACAAGTTCCCTGATGACCCTGATGCTGCTGTTCCTCAAAATCACACTCAGCCTAGGAAGATTCTAGAGATGATCTAGTTCTGAGCATGACTTCCCCAATCTAAACAGAGTTCCTGAACTGGTCCATTAACAATCTCATTCTACACTAGACCAAATGCAAGAGGTAGAAGGGCCAGTGGCTAAAACTGTGGCCATAACAGGATTTACTTGTTTGAAATGCAGTATTTATTGAGCAGCTTCTGTGTACAGAGCGCTACTCTAAACTAGTTACCACTTTAGGGTTTCAGGTCTTCACCTCATGTTCTCAAACCTCACATTTTGGTCAAAGCATTATCTGAACTGCCCCCATCACAGAGCTTGGGGAAAATTTTTTAAAAAAACGTTTTTTTCTCAGTTCCTATTTTGTGCCGTCTTTAAGCCACGTACTTTAAATACACTGTCCTTAATCTCCCATAATCTGTAAGGTTTATCAGTTGTACAGATAAGGAAAGTGCCTCTCCTAGGCTTCGAGGCCCACACATTTGTACTCTGACACTGCCTCCCTAAACTCTGATGATTAAAAACTCAAAGCAGTGATATCTGCAAGATAAGTTAGTTTTTACATCTCTGTCAGCAATGGAATTGGGATCCATGCATGTGAAGAGATGGGAGTTTTAACTCCGCATCTAACTGGATTATTTCTCTTACTAAAAATTTCATAAAGTTACAGATTTCCTTGCGAAGTGAGCATATTTCCATCTCCTAGTTTCCAGGTAAAATATTAAAACCCTGCAACAAGCCTGAGGGCAGCATTAATGTGTTAATGGCTTAAAAAATGATTCCAATGTCCGCATGCCCTCAGGCCTAGGGCGTTTATTACTGGAGGCTGAAGGGCTCTTGGGATTTCTTTTGCTTTGAGGAGAACCGGCAGGAACAGCCTGTGAGTTTGAGGAGTGGGGCTGCAAAAAGGATTTCTGCAACTCCAGTGCAAAATGATAGTCCATATGTTCTGGCATCTCCCAGACAGGTACCAGAGAGCCACACTTCTCACAGGGCACTTGGTCCTCAGCTGCCATAGGACTTGGGGTAGTAGTTGATTTCTGAGCCACCTCCAGAGCAGAGCTGGAAGTTAAAGAAGCAAGCCTGCTTGGGCTGTTCTGGGCCAAATCCATCTCTGTAGGAGTTGTTTTAGAGGATCCTAGCTTCAATGCTGCTTGACAGACAGGGGTGCAGTCTGGATACTCTGCTGGAAGACAGTTTGTTAACTCTTCACGGCTGGACTGTGGATTTTGTGGAGTGAAGAAAACTGAAGGATTATTAAGCTGTTTCTGTTTTAGAAGTAGACTCTTCAGCTTAAAGAAGGGCTCAGTTCCCGTAGTACTACTGGTTTGGAAAGGTAAGGAGGGCTTGGATGGTGAATTGCTCATGGGGGCCTGGGTAGTGGCAGTAAGAGATGACAGTGAAGTTTCTTTGACTTTCTGCTTTTCTGCAGCTTTTTGGAAGAATGATTCCAGAGAAGTGGTTGCTCTCTTAGTGGCTGTCACTGCTGGGCCACATCCCTGGGTCTTAGCTTCTGGACTGGTAACTGGCACCTTTGGCAGAGAACTTGGGTCGTTGCTCAAGAAGGTGGTGATGTCTGTGCAAGATGAAGGGGCAGGGGCGGAGAATTTGGTAGCACAGAGAAAGAGCATTGTGAGGGGAGGGGACCTATATAGAAAGTAAAGGAACAAGATTAGCACTAGGTCACATATGCAGTTTGTAAATGACTGGGATTATGATTCTGCCACAAGAGGAAACTATTACTGCAGTGTTCTTAAATATTAGGGCATCAGATTAGTACAGATTCAGTAGACCTGGAATACGCAGAGAATATGCCTTCCTAACAAGTTCCTAGGTGATGCTGATATTGCTGGCTTAGGACCACATCTTGGGAACTGCTGACTTGGTGAACACCTAACCACGTCAGACATATACAAAATGGATCCCCTGACAGCTAGGTATTCATAAGGTATATCAGAAGATACATAAGAGCAGTTATAATTTAGGACTGAGGCAAGAAATTTTAGTCAGGGCAACAAAAAAGCTTTAGAATATTTAGATTGGGAATTCTCTTGAAAAAATCCTGTTACCCATTCTGTTTTTAAAGAGGGCACCACCATTATAACCCTCATTCTGACAGACTTGCAACTCGAATTTCTAGAGAATGAAATCCCACAACTGGAATGACCTAACCTAGTCTCAGAAACATTTCAAGAAATTCCTGCCATAGAGTTACTCGTTACGTCTAATTACTCAAATAATTTTCACATGAGTGGAATTTCAGACGATAAAACATGCTTTTATATACAGATTAGTCTCTCGATAAGGTAAAGAGTAAATGCCGTTTTAAAACTGTTATGACAGTATCTCACTATCCCCTGGTTTCATGCTTTTGGACACTCTTATAATCAGATCATTTTGATGCTTCCCTGTCAACAGATTTCACATTCCCGATAAATTATTAGAGTCTGTCAATTTATAAGGCTTCATATGAACACAGTATCATATTTATCTTTTAGTTCAATGAAACTGTTCAATATTTGAAAATAAACACATATACCAGGAAGTAAAAGTTAAATAAACTATTCCACACAAAGAACAAAGATTCCAGCTTTAGAGACCCCATCATATTGTAGGTCTGCACATACAGTAGTACCCACAGAGTTAGATAAGCAATAACTTAGGTGTTCACTGAATATTTATTTATTTATTTGTAGTTGACACAATGTCACATTAGTTTCAGGTTAAATTTTATTTTTTATCATCTTCAGTATAGATCTATAAGTAAACAACCAATTTATGTTTCTCACAAAATTATATTTCCATTGTGAATTAGGAATACTTTTTTCAATGTAACAGGCTATGTTAAATAAAGGATTCCCATACTGAAAATCATTAATATCTGAGCAATAAATAAACACATTCCAATGATATATCTGGTTATTTTTCATTACCAAATGAAGTGAAATTTAATATGACATTCGGTATTATGCCAGTGGAGCTTGTAATTGAGTTGGGATGTTAGATTGAGATTATCAATAAATACAGGTCGCTTTCATTATCAAGGAAGATAGTTTTAAGACAGAACAATCAAGTGTTGAGAGAGAAGTTCCCAAGTGTATCCTTGAAACTTGAGTTCCATACTCACACATGCAGTTGGTTGTTCCCTCTGATTGCAGCAAAGGTAGGGATAATATTGGTTTACTTTGCCTCTGAAACCCACCCCTCAGAACTGGAATGCACCAAATGTCGGCACGGAAGCTGTAGTTGAGCTGCCTTATTTCTGGTGTTTCTGTTGTGTTCTGCCATTCCTCTCTGGGATAGGTCCTCCTAGCAAGAGTCACCAAGAACCTACCCCAGCTGGAAAGCTATGTACCCACGAATTTTAGACCAAGTCAGGGTTCAAGTGTCTTCTAAGAAGACAGGCTAGAATTCAACTCACCAGTCAGTTTTGATTCCTGAGGTGTTACAGTTCCTGATGACAGCAAACGCATCATGGCTCATCTTGTGAGCATCATAGCGGCTAAGGGCACAGCAGCGTCGCACGCTGCTGAGACGTTTGTCTCCTTGTACACGAATGCTCACAGCCAACTGGGTGGCCACCCTGTCATTCTGTGGGTATAAAAGGATTGAGACCAGAACTAAAGTTCTTGTGAGCATCTGGATTTTATATACTGAACTCGTGTGAGAGGAAATTAAGAACCAGGGTGACAGAATGGTTTGGAAATAATCGCCCTTAATTAATACTTTAAACAGTGATATGACAAGGATCTTATACGTCCAGAATTACTTTTGGCATAAAGTCCTTTTAAGCTTAAAGATAGATAAATTTCCAGGGATCCCTACTGTGTTGCATTAGATACAAAGTGGGAGGAAAAGCCCCACTTTAAGGCTTTTAAAGCCTTATGAAGCCTTATAAAGATAAATGAGGACAGAGCGACACCTAGTGAGCAAAGGCAAGTAGGCCCATAACAACTGGGACCCTCTCCCTCTTTATGTGGCCCACCAAAGAACAAACATTCACCACCACCAATTCAGCTAACAAGGGGCAAACAGGTAGTTGTGGATGATTTCTGACAGTGTACAGTTGACTTGTAGGACTCCTAGATGTGGAAACACGAGAGAACATACCAAACAATACCATCAGGAAAGTGAAAAAACCCTCAGAATGGGAGAAAATATTTGCAAATGATTTGTCTGACAAGGGACTTACACCCAGAATATAGAGAGAAGTCTAAAAACTCAGTGATGAAGACACAAATAAACCACTTCAAAAATGGGCAAAGGATCTTGACAAATTTCTTCAAAGAAGATAAGAAAATGGCCAATAAGCACCTGAAAACCATATCCACTAGTATGCTAAAATAAGAAAAAGGCAGTAACAAGGACATAGTGAAATTAAACCCTTTTTACATTGCTGGGAATGTAACATAGTACAGCAACAGTCTGGTAGTTCTTCAAAATGCTAAATATAGTTACCATGTGAACCAGCAATTCTAATCCTAGGCATATACCCAAGAGAAAGGAAACATGTCTACACAAATATCTGTACATGGATGTTCACAGCAACACTGTTCATAATAGCCAAAAAGTGGAAACAACTCAAATATCCATTCACTGATGAATGGATAAACAAACTATGGCATATCCATACAAGAGAATATTATTTATTCATAAAAGGAAAAAAGATACTGATACATGTTACAATATGAGTGAGTCTTGAAACTATTATGTTAACCAAAAGATCTGAAGCCAGCCAAAAGGCCACATATTGCCTTAGTCCACTTACACGGAATGTCCAGAATAGTAAGTCTATGAAGACAAAGCACACTAGCAGTTGCCTAGAACGGGGTAACTGCTAATGGGTATAGGATTTCTTTTCTGGGTGATGAAAATGTTCTTGATTGTGGAATGGTTGAAACAATTCTGGAATATACTAAGCTCAAACTACTAGCTGTATACTGTAAATGGGTGAATTTTATGGCATGTGAAATATATACTAATAAAGCTATTTTTTAAAGATTTTTTTAAAAATTTACTTATTTGAGAGAGAGAACGAGAGAGATGGAGAGGAGAAGGGGGTCGATCCCAGAACCCCAGGATCAGGACCTGAGCTGAACGCAGATGCTTAACTGAATGAGCCACCCAGGCACCCCAATAAAGCTTTTTTTTTTTTTAAGGAAAGGATAAACTAATCATCAGATGTCAAATCTTTGACTTCATACTCTATCTCTAAAACTGCCAGTAATTTTCTGTCACTTGGACTATATTTAAGTTGCAATAATTTACAGTCTAATCCCTGAATGCCCTTTTTAATGGCTCTGTATTCTGATGAAGATCCACCAGATCTTCATCAGATTGCAGGGTGGTTTAGATAAGAAATATACAAAAGAGTAGAGGCAAATAGTAATGAGGGGGATGAGGTAGTCATATGTTCACAGTTCTAGGCTTTCAAAGATCATGTTGAGGTTTTTTTTTTTTTTAAAGATTTATTTATTTATTTATTTA